TATAGACTACAATGTCATCCAAATAAACAACAACAAAGCAATCGATGTAGTCATAAAACACATTATTCATTAAGTTGCAGAAGGTTGCCGGGGCATTAGTTAGCCCAAACGGCATTACAAGAAATTCATAAGACCCATAACGAGTTACACATGCAGTTTTGGGTTCATCTCCTTCTGCTATACGCACCTGCCAGTAGCCTGCACGTAAATCCAGCTTAGTAAAATAGGATGCCCTTGACAACCTGTCAAATAAGTCTGCGGCATTGGGCACTGGGTACTTGTTCTTCACAGTCACCTTATTCAGAGCCCTATAATCCACACACATCCGCATTGAGCCATCCTGCTTCTTCTGGAACAACACTGGCGCGCCATACGGTGCCTTGGATGGTTGAATATAGCCAGACTCCAGCAACTCATCCAACTGTCTACGCAGTTCAGCCAGTTCTGAAGGCGCCATCCGATATGGGGCCTGAGCAGGAGCCCTTGCACCCGGCTCCAACTCTATCTTATGATCAACAGCACGTCGAGGGGGCAATTGCTTGGGTAGTTCTGGTGGCATCACTTCTGCAAATTCCTCTAGAATTTCAGCAACAGAATCCGGAACTTCAACAAGCTGGTCCGGTTTGATCTCTATCATAGCTGCAAGAAAGGTAGAGTCTCCTCTCTTCAAACCTGTTTTCACTTGCAATGCAGAGATTATTTCAATGCAACCATATTTACGATCTTCCTTCTTTTGGTGCCCATAAAGAGCCACTGATGGAATAAAACATGGACAACTCCTGTCCCAAATAAAAACTCCTCCCAAATATGGTACAACTACCACTCTGGCTTTCGTAAGGAACTCAATTCCAAGAATTAGATCAAAATCATCTAAGGGAACAGCCATAAGACTAACTACGCCCTCCCAACAACCAACTTTCATAGAAGTGGTGGCCATGCCTAAAACAGGCTTGGCTTCAGAATTCACAGCTTTCATCTTATTAGCATGTGGAATTAACTTTAAATTAAAGTTACTTACTTCCCTCTGCGCAATGAAATTATGAGTGGCCCCCGTGTCCACCATTGCCAAAACTTCCTTGCCGTTCAGTGTCACCTGAATGAACATGAGCCCTTTCAACTCCATGGACTGTTCTTCAGTAAGAGCATTCAGCATTTGCAGAGGATTAACTCGGGTTGGACCAGATTCCGAGTCTGAGTCTCCTTTTGATTCAGCGACAATAGCACTCAGCTTCTCCCTCTTGGGACAGTCCCTAACACGATGGGGACCATTGCAGATGAAACAACCGTAGTTGGGCTTAGTCCCACTACTACTCCCTTTGTTGTTGTAATCTGCCTTGGCCTTGACAAAGCCACCCCCTTTATCCTTCTTTTGATTCTTGTCCTTCTTTTTGTCCTTGAACCTGAAGGACTGGCCTTTGTCTTTCTTCCCCTCCTTGGACTTCTTCTTGTCTTGTGTAGTAGACCCAGTCATTTTGAAATCTACAAGACAATCTGCCGCTGTCATGGCAGTAGGAAGGTCCCTCACACCTTGCCTACGGAGTTCTGCCTGAGCCCATGGTTGCAATCCGGACATGAAATTGAACAGCTTGTCCTCCTCTGACATATTTCGAATGTCTAGCATCAAGGAACTAAAGTCCTTCACATAGTCACGAACGGTACCTGTGTGCTTCAATTTCTTCAGAGATTCCCTTGCAATCCATGCAGTGTTCTGAGGCAAGAACTGGTCCTTCAATTCCTTCTTGAGGGTCTCCCAAACTTCAATCTGAGGCCTACCCGCAGAAGCATCGTCCTCTGTCCGTGTGCGCCACCATAGCTTTGCATCACCAGACAGATACATGCTTGTAATGGTCACCTTCTCGCCATCAGGGATCCGAGCAGCCTTAAAGTACTGCTCCATGTCCTATAGGAAATTCTCCAACTCTTTGGCATTTCGGGTACCACTGAAAGACTTGGGATCCGGCACCTTGATCTTCTGCGAAAGAGGATCACCACCGCCTCTGGAACTCCCATGAATGGCCCTCTTCACCAAAGACACTTCATCTTCAAGGTCTTTCAGGTTCTTCTTGAAGACGTCAGTCAGTGACTCAACATCTTCAGAGATACGGGACAATTGCTCTTTGGTGGCCTGCATGAAGTCACCAAACCCATCAGGATCAGTCTTCAAGATCTCCAATTCAGAAGCCAAGTTTTCAATTCGAACAACAAGGCTCTCTGCACCATCTTGTACCTCTGTTTCTGTAGGAAAACCCACGAACTCTTCCAAATGGGAAACTCTTTCACGAGTATTACCTCCAGCCATCGTAGAACAGGGCTCTGATACCAATTGTCACAGGGCTAAATTACACCACGAATTTTTGCCTCTGCAATGGCACTTGGGGCCACCAAGTCTCAGCCAACACAACAACACAATACACACAATATAGAAATATAAAGAAGGCACACACAGTTTACAGGGACAAGCCCCAACCTTTGCTCATATTAAACATATTACAAAGGAACATGAGTTCGTACAAGGAACAACCAAGGCTCACACCCTCTTCTCTGTTCCCTCTACAAAGCCCACCTTAGCATTATATAGGCCACTCTCAAAACCGCCCATAACTGCCCACTAAGATGATGGATGACACCCCCATCCACCTAGGGTCGTGCTGGCACCCTCTAAATGAGCCAGCATTATAATGCAGTTGACAAGCCCAACTGCTAGACTTGTTGGCATGTTCTGCTCATGCCACATAACCACAAGAAGTTAGATTCTGCATGGTGGAGGAAACCACCCTTAACCGCCTGTGTGTTGGTCCTCTCAGAATTGTGCCACATGTTTGGGAGGTTACTCAGCACTCCCCCACTTCCCATGATGAGTGGGAAGTGCTAGTAACTTCCCCCAACCAACCGAGCCCACTAAGCCACCACCTCTTGTAACCGCAAGCCATGACTTTGTGTTATCCATGCTCTAGCCACATCTGAGTCAACCTTGTGAACCTAGCCCAAGTCCACCAATCTGCACCCACATATATATGTCTCTGAGTGCACGGCGTGCCAAGCCATGCACGCCCGTGCGCACGCTCGGGTGCACACCAAAGTGCACGCCGGCGCACACACTAGTGCCCTTCTTTGCGCGCCATGTTTGTACCCTCATGCGCCCGTGGCTGCACACCCACCTGGACGCCCATGTGCACGCCGAGCTAGACGCTCGCGCACACTAGGTTGGACGCCTACCCGCGCGCCAACCTGCACGCCCGCACGCACGCCGCTGCACTCCAGCGCGCGTGTCGGTGCACACTTATTTGCCCTTCAATATCTTGGATGCTCCCCACTTGTGCAACCATCTTGGAGTGGTGCAACACGTGCCCATGCACGTTGGCTAAGCCCTCTAAGCAAGCCATGCCATAGCCCAACCGATGCGCTCAACAGACCCCCCCCCCCCCCCCCCCAATATAGTCTTAAGGAAATCCAGCACTCTGACAGGAGTAAACATCACCCATGCTTGAGGAGTCATAATGGCCTTTCAGACCTTTCCCGACATCCAAATTAAGTGCCGTCTGCGCCAACCAGCTTCTATGGACTCAAGGTATCTCCCATAAAGATCCCGAGTCAAAACTCCAAGTTTCACTTTTCGCCATATTTACGAAAGTGCCACTGGGCACCCCCAGTGCACGCCGAGCATCCTTTTAAGCAGCTTGTGTGCACACTGAGCATCTTGTGCACGCTGACAACCCACTGAGCACCCTCATGGCTGTCTAATCAAAGCCAAAGTATTCCTAAGACATGGCATGGCCTTGAAATGCCCATGTCTTCCCTTGGACAACCGTCAAGGGGCTAACAGCTACCATCGCCCAATTCCTCTCTCTCTATACCCTCTCATCTTCACAGCACCGCCACACCGACACCCACCACCACCACATCACAACCCCACCACCACCACCTGACAGCCCCGCCACCACTCCACAACCTTGCCACACCCGCCACCACCACTTTACAACCCCGCCACCACCACATCATAGCCCCGCCACCACCAAATCACAGCCCCGCCACCACTTTACAACCCCGCCACCAACACTTTACAACCTCACCACCACCACATCACAGCCCCGCCACACCCACCACCATCCCCATTCCACAACCCCACCACACCTAACCCCACCACCATTTCGAAGACTCAAACTTGACCTTCACAGTACCACCACACCCACTACCATACCGAATTAGGGTTTTAGTTCCCCAAATGCAACACCAATGAGTCTGATAAATTCGTCTGAATTCAATTGTGTACCAATTCGGGAGGATTGGTGAAGAGCTTGACAAAGACGGAATGGTGTGTGTGTATAGACAAGATTGCTTGGACTACGCATAGGAGGATTGGTGAAGAACAAAAAATTTTGGGTTTTTTTTTGGGAGCAGAGGGTAGAGAGAGAAACTTATTACTCCGTATTTTAAAAGGGTAATTATGTTATATAATTTTTTAATATTTTAGATTAATAATTGATATTTTATTAAGGGCAATCTTGTCTTTTCACAGATTTTAAGGGCTTGTTTGGCTTAAATTTTTGACAGGGGGTGTAAGTGTTCAAAAAATGGCCAACTTATACATGTTTGTCAATACGGCAAACATCAAAGGCTGTCGTTATAATTAATCCTAAAATTAATGATTGATAGATCATTTCAACTCAAACCATATTATAATATATTAATACATTATTATGGAATGGTACATGTCCATTTGACATGTTAAGTATCAGTTAAATTCATACTATTATTAAAATTTATTTATAATATATTGTTATAAAGTCATTTTTTTAACGGATCAACAAACATTTATGGACCTAGATCATATAATCATTTCTCTTATTGTGGAATTATTTTCTCAATAAAAAAATCTTAATTGAATTGGTCTACCCATGACCCATGTCAATGATTCTGGACCGTCTAATAATTTATTGTGATCACGGTACTCCAGTCCCATATTTTTTAAAATAAAATAATATAATATAAAAAAGAAAGAAAATTTGATTGTTGGAGGTGATGGACAATCTGTTATTGGTAACGACAACACATTGTAGCTTGGGTTTCTCAGCCTCCAAATACAAAGAAGGGAGTGAGTGAGTTTTGCAATTAAACTCATTCCACCAAATCCTCTTCACACTTTCAACCGATGCTCGTTCTCTTTCTCTCTCATCTACAACGACCGGCGATTATCGGCAACGACACTGGTAAGATTCTCTATTTTCTCTCTCTCTCTTTCTTTTTCTGGTTCTGTGGATTTGTGAAGGGCGATTATCGGCACTTTCTTTTCTAGTTCTGTGCATTTACCTACTGGTTGCTAATTAACAGAATATTCGATTCTCTATATGGTCTTCGAATATTTTACTTGCTCGAATTTTTCTGTATGGTACCACATCTCTTTGTTATATATATATATATATGTGTACACACACGTTAGGTGACACCGTGACAAGGTATATCCATTCTCTCTCTCTCTCTCGTTTTGCATGAATCGATCCTTTTTTTTTTTTTTTTTTTTTTCATCTCCCTAAGTCCACTCCAATCTCACAACAGCAGCAAGCATACCCCTTTTCCTCATAATTTTTTGCATTTTCACATTCAATCCTACGAAAATTAAGGATCCCTTCTAGTGGGTTGAGGTAGTAATTAACTTTTTCGATCTCTAAATTATGCTCATACTTAAAAGTGCCAAATTAAGGGTTTTTTATTTTATTTTTTTTTATATGAAGATACATACCACCATTATTGATGTTATTTGAAGTTGGCTCAGCTAGAATTTCAGTTAAGGCTCAAAGCACTTGCCATCAGAATGTACAAACACATGGAAATCAAGAGCAGGCTTTAACAAAACAAAAGTTAATGATTTTTTCTATTAATTTGCACAGGTCTGCTGTAGCAATGATCAATTAATCACTGCGACTAAAGTTGATTTCTCATCCTTGATTGGCTCCTAAAAAAACACACACAAAAACACACAGAAAGCTCCAGTGAAAACTCGAGCCATTAGATCATTCGACCAAACTGCTTGATTTTAGATTTTTTTTTATTTATTTATTTTATTATTATTATTTTTATTATATTTATTGTATGATCAGCAATGCTTAGTTATTATTGTTTCTGTTTGATTCTCCATCCGTGTTAAGTTAATTGTGATCTTCGTTCACATGCTAGCAGGACACTCTTCTTAGGATCTCGTGAGGTTATTTGCCTTGAACTTGAATCAAATCATTGCATATTGAGGTAAATATATTTTCTTTAAACAAAGCAAATTATTACTATTATTTTTTTGAAGTCTAGTTTTTTTGTTGATTATGGTTCTTGTTATTTAGATTTCAAGAGATTTCATTATGTCTACAAGAAAATTTGAATCTGGGCATGAAAAAGAGAGAGAGAGAGAGAGAGAGAGAGAAGAAGAAGAAGAATTGATTCAATCCGAAAAAGGAGATATTCATAAGTCTTTTAGGAGCAATACACAAACAAAGAGTTTAGTTGAAGATTTAGTGAATGAAGAACATATGAATGCGAATGCAAATGAAAAAAATCTCAATGAACATGAAGATTTAATGAATGAAGATCGTAGTAATGAGAATCAAAATGAAGAAAATGTGAATGAACATGAAGATTTGGTAAATGAAGAACATATGAATGAGAATGATAATGTTCCTTTGAACATTAATGATCCAGGAAATTGGAAAAACATTGAAAAAAAATTGACAGATTTTGTTGTTGAAAGTCCTCCAAGATATGCTAAACTTGAAGATTTTCCTAAGGATTCAAAAAATAGACATTTTTCTTCTGCATATTACATTCGACACTTGTCAAACGGTGAAAAACATGATAGGAGATGTCTTCTATTCAAGTTCTTTGGACAAAGTCTATTGCTTTTGTTGTAAGTTGTTTAAATATGACGAACAACAAACTCATTTGGCAAATAAAGGAGTTAATGACCGGAAAATCTTAGCGACAAGCTTAAAAGTCAAAATGCAAAGCGATCACATTTACTTTGATATAAAGTTGAATTTTGATTTTTGTGACCAAGTTGTGTGAAATATTTTCTTTTAATTTTTTGATGTAAACTGGATCGTGCTCTTTTTAAAGCACCAAGACTAGGTTTTCTTTTGTGTGTTTTCAACATTAATGTATTTTAAGTTCTTGTCATCTCATATTAATGAAAATTCCTCATTCTTATAAATTTTTTGTGCCTGTGAAAATTTCGCACTCTTTAATTGATAAATTTATTGTTATTAGTTACCTACCTGTCTTATGCACACTGCATAGGTGCACAATTATTTATTGGTGGTGATAGATTTATAGTTATTAGTTAGTTGTCTTATGTAAGCTGCACAGACACTCAATTATTTCTTGGTGGTGATAAAAATTTATAGTTATTAGTTAATTGTCTTAAGCACACTGCACATGTGCACAATTATTTATTGGTGGTGATAGATTTATAGTTATTAGTTAGTTGTCTTATGCACATTGTACAGACGAACAAGTATTTGTTGGTGGTGATAAATTTATAGTTATTAGTTAGTTGTCTTATGTACAATGAAAAGGCGCACAACTATATTAGCTATAGAATTTGAAAACATCGTGTGAAAATTCTGTGCACTTATAATTTTTTTTGCGCGTGTGAAAGTTAAGGGCCTCACATTTGAAATTTCGCCTAGGGCCTCTCAAAACATTTGGAATCTTAGGGCCGGCCCTGTTATACGCACAAATGTAAAGCCCCTGAGAATGCCCATCTACCGTTTAATTAAACGCCTCAGCCAGACAATTGTTTTTACAATTTAGCCAAATGCCCGAAAAATAGGAAAAAAAAGAAAGAAAAAGAGTGCTTTATTCGTACCTTTTTAAAATTATTTGAGGACCTTTGTACCAGTTCACTCAAGACATGATCCTTGTTTATTTCTGAATGACACGTCATTTAACAGTATAAAATATTTTTTAATATTACCATCAAACCCATAAAATTATTATACTCATAATTAGTTTCCCAATTGCAGCTATTATCAATAAACTATTAATTATAGAGTAAGTGGAAATGGAGCTGAAGCTTTACACTGAATTGCCGCACTAAATTGTATTCAACTTTTGAGGTCGTGTTGTTATATTCTTATATTGACATTCGCATCACTGATTCAATCAATTTGCGTTCCTATTTCAGATATATCTTCTAAGTTGGAGCATGGTTTCTAATTGATACTTCTTTATGTTCATTACAAAGTCGATGGCAATGCCTATAAGGAAGTTAGTGTCATGTGTCATCCTTGATTTGGATGGTACACTTCTTAATACAGGTGGGTTTGTGGTCTTTTCATATTTTTTATTGTGAATGCTTATTCGTATTTTTCATGCATATAATTGTTACTGCAAAGATTATTGCTGTTACCGACCTAGATTTTGATGTTCTATGAGTGTATTTCTCTTGATCGGGAAGCAGAAATGTAATGTTACTTGCCCTATGTAGTTACTCATGATTGACTAGTCTACCAAGGTTTTCTCTCCTTATCATAAAGATGACTATTTCCCAATTCATATAAGTCTTCTTCCATATATGGAGTTACTTTTATGAAAGATTTCGATCTATGTATTTGAGCTGCATGTTCAACATATAAATGACCCGTGCTTCTTATAATTCCATTTGGGTTCAACCATTCCTCGGTATTCAATTCTTTCATCAGATCAAACAGCTATCTGATATCTTGCCCGCTTTGTTTTTGGTGCTTGTCCTTATCCGGCCATAACTTCATTTCAATTTATTGACAGATGGCATTGTGAGTGATGTTTTAAGAGTTTATTTGAGTAAGTTTGGGAAGCAATGGGATGGGAGAAGAGCTCATAGAATTGTAGGGAAGACACCTTTGGAAGCTGCAGCTGCAATTGTGGAAGATTATGGGCTTCCCTTGTCAACAGATGAATTAAGTACAGAAATCACCACAATGCTCTCTGATCAGTAATTGACCTTCACTTTTTATGTATTTCATTATCTATATCGGTCAAATGTTTCTAACTAAAAGATGCGTATAACTCAATTTTTCGAAGGAAATCTCTACTCACCTTTACAAAGAGATGCACATAGACAGTTAATTATGCAACATTCCCCCAGAATAAGCAGTCATGAGGATGCAGTTTTCTGAATGGGCATGATTTTTTACTTTTTATAATACAAGTTCACTTGTTTATTCCAAAATCATATCACTATTGATTGCTAGAACTTAGGAGATTTCCACGTGTACCAAAGCCAATAACCAACTTCTATCACATCCTATCTACAATAGAGGAATTGGGATTTGGGCAAGTGTCTAATCTGAACTGGAAAAATTGCTTCCAATCATGGTGGATGCAAAGAGAGCCCTAGGAGGTGAGAGAAAATAATCAGAATGCTTAATCTTATTTTTTCAATGGTTTATTTGAGATGGAGATTCCCAAGACAAACTAGTAAAAGGTTTTGTATTTTTGAATAGAACTGACATATTTTAGGTGCAACCAGAATAGTCATTTAGCGTTCACATCCATTCTAACTGTGGTTTAGTACCACTTTCATTCTAACACATAAATGGTCGCTTCAATCTTTAGTACCACTGTGTTCTCTCATGGTTAGTGTTCTCTATATTATGTTACTGTGCTTTTTGTGCTACATTTTTCTGCTGAAGCTTCTCTATGGGGAGCTTGAATAGAAGTTAAAGTAGACCGTACAGGTGTTGCTAGCATTTTTCATGTTTCTTAAAGCTAAATATATTACATGTGTGTCTGTGTGTATAATTTGTATTGCTGTTCGTATTTAGACTCCCAGATTTTGAATTTATGGTTTATAACTTGTGTTGCATTTTTCTAAATGTTGTTATAAAATTAACATCATAGATGGTGCAATATTAAAGCCCTTCCAGGTGCGAACCGGTTAATTAAACATCTAAAGGGCCACGGAGTGCCTATGGCATTGGCTTCAAACTCTCCAAGGGTAAATATTGAAGCCAAAATATCTTGTCATCCAGGTTAGTTTGGAATCCTTAAATTATGTTCTTCGTGTCCTCGTAAGTAAATGGCAGAATGGCATGCATCAAGCATATTGTGATTTGTGTTTCACTTTTAGGCTGGAAAGAATCCTTCTCTGTCATTATTGGTGGTGACGAAGTTAAAGCCGGAAAGCCATCTCCTGAAATGTGAGATGCAACACATCAAGTTTGATCTGAACTTCTTTATTGATGGGTTTTGTTTGAAAATGATCTGAATTGAGGTTGTTATTAAATTCTAACCTAGTGAGTTTTACTGTTAAAGATTTCTTGAAGCAGCTAAAAGGCTAAACCTTGAGCCTTCCAACTGCCTCATCGTTGAAGATTCACTGTAAGTGACTTGAATTCATTATGGCACTGAATCTCTTTAATTTAAGCATCCTGGCCAAAGCTAGTATCCCAATGTTGAATGATCTGTTTTTTAACCATTTCTGTCTTACGAAGTTAAGTAAAGAGAACCTTAATTAACTTGTGTGGAAGAAATAAGTGAGAAGTAGCTGATGATGTGAAAACCTTAGATGCTGCCATTTTATTATGCTTCTATTTGACTATGAACTATTTTTTCAAAATTACATGGATGCTTAATCAAGATATCTTGAGACATTCTAGCTTTGGGAAAGCACGATTCTTGTGAGAATATTTAGATCTTTTGGTTTTTTTTTTTTTTTTTTTTTTGGGTAGTTAATATATTTCTCTTAGTGAACACGAAGGACAACTATCTTAGGTATCCTTTACATATATAGAGTTTGGTTTATTGCTGCTGAAAAATTCATATACTAATGAGTTGTTTATGGTGGCTATTTTAATTTTAAATATCATTTTTATTTGTTGTAGCTGTAAGATATTTGTTTGTTGTCCCATTCAATAATAAACGTCCAATCTCAAATTGTATAATCCAAAACTTTTACAGAGACTGAGAGATGTGAATCAGCTTGTAAGAGAATCTAATGTTTCAATTTGATACTTAACTGATATTTATGCTTAAAATAGGTTGTTTTAGTTTCAATAATCAATATGTTAGTGTGAATTTTGCTAAAATGGTTGTATGTTTCACCTTTATTCTTAGTAAAACCAAAGATCTTTGAACATCTTGTTTATCTGAATACAATAGGGTACTCTTTTAATTATTCTTGCGTGAATATTGATTGGTCATCGGAATGCATACAATTGCCATTGAGCTATTACTATTTAGAATAATGTCAATGCAGTCTTATATTACACACCTATAAATATGAATTCCGAAGTACATTTTTTTGTCACATTCAATACATGTTCTCAGAAACCCCAGCCTTTTAAGCCACGGTAATTATGTGTACAAATTTTGAAGTCCTGATAATTCTTAAATCCTACAGTGCTTGCCACCAAGGTCTGTAGCTAGGTAGCACCGACACGAACACGGGTATGATACGACATGGACATTGCGATACGTCAAGTCTCAAAAAAAATAGGACACGGACACGGACACGGACACGGACACGGCAAGGATACAACAATAAAATAATAATATAATTTATTATATATAAAAATATTATTCATAAACCATTTAAATTTGACCCACTTAATATTTCATATTATAAAATATATATATACAATGGCCCATCATATAGCCCATGTGCCCAAATTTCTTTCAAGTACAAATCTTATATCCAAAAGGGTTACGGTTAGCCTCATGACCAAACAAGTGGTCACAGAAGATAAGATTGCAATACAGATTGTAGTGCAAATCTTATCACCGCCCTCTATTTTCATTTCATTTTCCGGGGGTGTCTCTCTGTCTTCTGTCTTTTGTCTTCTTTCATCTCTTCAACTTCTTTCATCTTTTTTTGTTTATATTCTCCTCTGCCCAAACTTTCAGATCGGACAAAGCTGGTATAGAAGAACATGATACTGGCAAATAGATCTGTAAATTTATTTGTATTGTATCAATTTATACTTTATTTCATTTATGAACTTTTTTCTGTCTATTATATAGAGCTGAATATATATACACATCCATGTAGATATAATGATATATTGATATATCATCCTCTCCTCTTCTTTCTTTTCTTTTTTTCAAAAAAAAATCTAAAAGATTTGGTCGCCGTGTCCTATCCCGTGTCGCTGGCGTGTCTCCGGCGTATCTTCTGCCAGTTTTAAAAAATTAAAAACAGGATACGGTTACAAGGTGTCAGACGCGTGTTCGGCCCTCCGACACACGTGTCTGTGTCCGACACGGGTACGTTACACGCCCAGTGCGTGTCTGCGCTTTATAGGTCTGTAGCTTACTTGGTATTTCCTCATTTTTCAAAGTCGAAGGTCAAGGGTTCAAGTTTCCATAGTGACAAAGTGGGTGTGTGATATTCAACTAGGAAAAAGAAGAAGAAGAAATCCAACAGTGCTTGATATAGTAGACATTGTTTAACCTCTCATTTCAATATTTTTTTGATAAGTATTAAACCTTTCATTTCAATAATGGCAGCTTGTGGTTTTCTCTGATCTCAGAGTGAATGAGCTGTTTAGGATAAATATTAATTTGAGAATCCCTTACCTAGGATTTTGGGTGGTTTTTTTACATTTTATCAGAACTTAGTTATTTAGTTAAAATTTGTATTCTCCCTTAAAGACAGATCAAACTAAAATTTTCAAGTTCAACTTAACAATACCATAAATCTCAAAAAGTTGTGTTGGTTACATTTAAGCAAATTCATGGGGTTAACAATCCAAATTCAGCATCTATACAAGTTGTGAGACAAAACATTTATGCACTGCATATATATATATATATATGCAGTCAAGGGTCTAAGGGAGCGCTCATTTGAGGCAAGTCTGCTGTTTCCCTAATGTTATTATTCAAAGTTTTAGGGACTAGTGGACAATTAAGGAGTAAATATAGTTATGACTAGCTGTTCGTGTTTGTACAAAAACAAGATGAGAGTAGAAAATGGTCCCAAAATTTAATTCCACTTAACATGAGAGTAACTAAAGCTCTAATTATTTGTTATTCTCTTACGGTTCTAGTTCTATATACTCTGAATTTAGAAAATGTTTCAACAATTTTCCATAGGACAAAGCCAAGTTGCCTCTATAAGTTTTAAGGTCATGCAACTCCATTGTGTATAAAACCTTAACCGTACCCTCAATTGGGTGAAATTTACAGTTGCAATAACCCAGCAATGATGCCTCCCTTATTTTTACCTCATGCATGTTTTACCAACTTCTTAATGCTATTGGCTTGAACTCTGGATTAAATTGAGAGAAACCCTTAAGTAGGATTCTGGATTACTTCTACTAAGCTTCATATCTTTTTAGGTAATTGTTGCATTTACTACTAGTAACTGTTGCATTTTCTTTTGAAGTTCTGCTTTTTTGACAATTCGATCAAGTCTTTATTTTTTTTGACCTATCAGACATGGAACTGGTATGATGTTTTTTTGTATTTGATACAAAGAGAACACTGTTTCAATTCTTTAAAGTTGGGAAATTTTGTGCTTTGGCAGACCAGGTGTTATGGCTGGCAAGGCTGCTGGAATTGAAGTGGTTGCTGTTCCTTCTCTCCCAAAACAGTCCCATCTTTACACTTCAGCTGATGAAGTGATCAATTCTCTTCTTGATTTGCGCCCTGAAATGTGGGGCCTACCTCCGTTTGAAGATTGTACACCTCTATCACTGTGAACAATATTTTATTTTGGTGGTTGTATCAGAAATTTCATCGAAATTATTGCTTTATAATTGCAGGGATAGAGGGTACTTTACCAATAGAACCTTGGTACATTGGCGGTCCTGTTATAAAAGGATTTGGTCGTGGCTCAAAGGTTCTTGGAATCCCTACAGGTGACAAATTACTTAGTTTCCTTTGTTTTAACAAGCTGGAATTCTGATGAATAGATCATTGGCCTTTTCATGCTATTGGCATAAAAATTACGATGCTTTTTCAGCCATGGCATGCCTAAGTCAATATCTGCATGTTTAATTTGTTAAACTATTAGTTTAGCTCATAGGTTGTGGTTTTGTTGTTTGTGATGCGACCTTGGGATCTTAACTTTGGCTGGTCGGATCTGGCAGAATTTGAGTTCTGCCCATCTTTCATTTTCTTGTTCTTAGTTTCATTCATCCTGTTCTAACTGGATTACTATTTTCCTTTCAGCTAATTTATCCGCAGAAGGCTATGCAGAATTCCTTTCGGAACACCCATCCGGGGTGTATTTTGGTTGGTGTCAATTATCTACACGAGGTGTTTACAAAATGGTCATGAGTATTGGTTGGAATCCATATTTCAACAACACCGAGAAGACCATAGTGAGTGCGGTGTGGAATTATTTGGTAACTTTGCGAGTCAATTTTATATTTTGATTCTTAAATGTTGTCGTCTATAATTTCAGGAACCGTGGTTGCTGCATGACTTTGATGAGGATTTTTATGGCGAGGAATTGCGTCTTGCTATTGTTGGCTACATTCGGGCTGAGGTACGATTAACCATTGACTAGTATTGTTATCAAATTATCTTGGTCTTTCTTATGAAATTCGGCTTGGAATGTTATAGGCAAATTTCCCATCCCTTGAAAGCCTGATAGAGAAGATTCACGAGGACGGGAAAATTTCAGAAAGAGCCCTTGAACTTCCGTTGTACTCGAAGTACAGGGATGACCCATACCTGAAAAGCTCTTTGCATGGAGATAAAAATCATTCACAACCTGTATAATCCATTTTCATTAAGAAAATGATAGTGACAGTAATATTCTTCCAGCTTTTCGGTATCTAATGTAAGTTCCGAAACTCAGGCTGGGTGTGAACAAACTTGGAAGGTGTGAACAATCTTGTATGTTGAGTTATATTCTCAAAATAATTGAGGACAACAATTGTCGTCAATTTTATTTATTATCAATACAAGCCAAGGAACATAGTTTGTTCATCTTGATGAATCTCTGGTGATTTTTTGGGATCAAGTCATTGCATTAATTTGTTCTCTACATTTGACTGAGCAATTAAGATACTTCCATGCTGAGGATGAAATGTGCCATTTGTTTTCTGATACATGTTGATTTATGTTCTTTTCTTTGTAATCGTAGTAATTAATGTAAGGTTTAGAATTTTGTTCCAAAATCAGTTATTAAAGTCACTCAAGGAGGATCTGGTTTCTACCATTCCAATTATTTTACGAGCAATGATACATCCTTCGAATTCAGAAACACTACTAAAGAAACCTTATTGTTAATGGATAATTCTGTATATGTCCATCTCAGCTACTGAAGGTTTTTTTTTTTATTTTTTATTTTTTTGTGTTTCCTGCCAAATGATAAATTTGCATATTTGAAGATTAAAACAAATCTACTAGGGAAGCAAAGAGACCTTTTTGCAAAATCTGAATGGATAAATTCTATAGATATCCAGGCGTTTCATTTGAATTGGTTGATCAAAAGGGCAAGTCTTAACCTAAGTCACATGGAGCGGGAGCGCGCAAGTAGTAAAATTTTAGTCGAGTGGAAGTGAAAGTGCGTGCAGAAAAGGGGCACGCACAAAGTGTCTTAACTAAGTTGGATATATATATACCTTGATAAGAAATTCATATTTCTAAATGGAAATTTGAATTATGAACCCTCTATTTTGCAAGGTGAAGAAGTACCGCTACTGACTAAATTAGGTTATTGTCAATCATAATTCAGTTAGGATAAGGAATAAGATTTTCATTAAATAAAAATGTCTTGATCAAATTAGAGGTTGGTTATTAGTTGGCAAAGTAGGCATCACTATTGACTATTGGTGTTGCAGGAAAAAATTGTACATGCCACTTTCCATAATAGGCGAAAATGAGAAATCATAAAAAAAATTGTAAATGTGAAAGATTAAATTTGCGAATCCACCAAGATGAATTTGCAAATCAGGGTGAATTTGATGTCACTCTATTGGGTTAAACTGTTGAGTGACTCAGAACTTGTGGACACAAATTTAGATTGAAGTTGATATAAATATAAATAGAAAGAAATATAAATTGAAAGAAAATATCAATTGGGGAGCAAGTAAATACATACAGAGGTGACTTACCAAATATATATATATATATATACACACACATATATACAGAGGTGAATCAGCTTCCATATCCAAGTTTTTGGTATGGTACATATTGACATGTTGACTTCAACTCATCTTCTTGGACTCAAATTAGGATACTCACTGGTCTCTATTAGCAACACCTTTAATTATAGGGTAAAGTGTATTTAACCCCCTTAACTTTCACTGTTTACAATAAACTCTTTTTTTTACTTCAACTCATCTTCTTGGACTCAAATTAGGATACTCACTGGTCTCTATTAGCAACACCTTTAATTATAGGGTAAAGTGTATTTGACCCCCTTAACTTTCACCATTTTACAATAAACTCGTTTTTTTCTTTGTTTTTTTTTTTTTTTTGGTCAAAAAAAACCCTTAACTAACCGAGGGGGTGACTTTTAAAATATTTGCCAAAAATAACCCACTAACCAAGTAAGGGAGTTTTATACAATTTGCTAAATTGAGTGAATTTAGCTAGATTTTTATTTTTTTTTATCACCCTTTTATATATACCAATGCAACATCCATCCAATATAAATAATTTACTTTTAAAATTCAAAATTCCTACAAAATATTACTTTGAGAAACAACAATTTTACTTTAAAAAGAAAAAAAAAATGCAACACACACAAAATAAATTAATAATATAGAGAATTCGAGTTTCCCAACAGTGGTCTTTAACAAATTTTTACATTCCTGTCCTTTGTAAAAAAAATGATTGTTCAGCCCAACATTTTAATTCCAGCCATGGATTTGTGCGAGCACGTTTAAGTTGTTACATAAATAATAATAGAACATGTTTTAAATTATTGAATGTTAATTTGAAGATGCTTAAAAAGAGAAAAATTATAAAAAATGAACCAAATTTTGGGTGAAAAATGGCGGAACTATCTGGAAGGAATTAAAAAAAAAAAAAAAAATTACCCACTCTTTTCACGAGTGGAGTCAATTAAAAATGGTGTGGGGTCTATGAATTTTAGTTGACCTAAAACATTTTTCAACTAAAAGTGCGTGTGGTCTCAAAATACTGCAAATCCACGTGTCCGGCTAAAATAGTCCCCACCAACCTACTAGCAGCCAATTTCGACCGACCAGAATCTGCCACGTCATCAGAACGAACCCACGTTGCTTCCTGCCACCATTACTGACTGCCACGTGTATGTCCCCAAACGGCTAGTTTTCCACTCTATATATAGATCCAGATACAGGATAGAGATGAAAGATCTTTACAGTTTCTAGTCCTTTCCAGTAAATATAGATAACTTCAACACTTCACCTAGATTTTATCGTTTGATTCATTTTCATAATTTTAAAAACCAAAATACTCTCTCTTATAGATTCACACTCATATATATATATAGTAGTATATAGTTATATACAACTATTACTATTTATAAATAAAACTTGACTTATATAAATTCTGTAGTTGAAGACCGTTCTCATTTCCTTCTTCACAACAACCGTTATACAAATCAACCATTATTGCAATCTACAAATCAGCCTTTTTCTTTACAGGTCTGTATATATATATATATATCTATCTGTATATATGTAATTGTCTCTGTATATTTGGCAATATGTTTTGATATATACGATTGATTGGTATTTAGGTGCATTTCTGATTGATGTTTGCTCTGTTATTTTCAGTTTATTTCAGATTATTTCTAAATCAGTTTCGATTGTTGTTTGTTTTGAAGGAAAAATCAGATTTTGGTGGGAAATTTCGGGTGTTTTGGATTGGCATTGTGAGAAATTGAAGTTGAAAATGGCTTTGGGGAAGAACTGTGGCTCGAATGTGAAAAGTGTGGATGAAGGATTAGGGTTAGGGTTTGTTCATTACCCGCGATCGTTTCGCCGGAAACGGATTTTGATATCGAGCAGGGTCGAGGCTGAGTCCACATTCGTCAGTACTCCGACGAAGAAACAGTGTAGCGATCAGATGTCGGTTCTGAGTTCTGAGAAGTCTCTTCTTGAAACCCTTCCTCAGGACATTCTGGTTAGTACCAAATCTCTCTCACAGCAGTTCGATCGATCGAATTCATGAATATATATATATATATATATATATATATATATTTATGTGTGTGTTTATTTGCAGTTTTGATTGAAACAGTATTGGTAAAAATTGAAGTTTATTGGTTTTGCAGATCAAGATACTGTGTGGAGTGAATCATGATGATTTGAAGCAGCTTTTTCATGTCTCAAAATTGATAAGAGAAGCTGTGAGTATTGATTTTCACTTAAAAATTTGCTTTGTTTTTGATGATTATTGATTTTTATTTGTGTTTTTGAAGTGAAAAAAAGAAAAATGGAGAGAACCATTTTTATTTGAAATTTTGCTTTGTTTTGATGATTATTGACTTTGATTTGTGTTCATGTGGATTAACAGAGTATGATTGCAAAGCAATTGCATTTTGCATATAGCACACCTACAAAGACTTTAACATTTCAAAATCCAATTGATTTGGAGGATTCAATTGAGATTGAAGCACCAAATGCCCCGAAGCAGTCACGGCGATGTCGGTCCCACCTGACCGGAAAGAAGCTGGCCGACATCTCAGTGGCCTTGTTCACTTCACCGGACGGAGAACAGTGGCCTAAGGAAGTGTCATTTGCAGGAATGGAGATAGATATATGAGTTTTGATGGTTTTTGTATATAGGCATTGTTGTAGTTTGAATAGTAGTTGATGGAGTTAGTTACTTGACGTTTGTGATCTGATTGTGAGATCTCATTCACTTGTACATGTTCATAATCTTTCCACTACAAAGCCATGTCTTCAAACCTTTCATTGAAGACGAGTTGGCTTGTTTGATTTGATTGTAGATGTATACTTTGTGGTTTACACTTGTCTAAATGAAAATTATTAGAAAAGTTTTTCTTTCTGTATTGATGGGATGTCGTGTGTTGATTAAAATATTATAAAACATTTAGATATCTTATTTTTAACTTTAAAAAAAAAAAAAAAAATTTATTTATTTTTATCTAATTTATTACTCCGTAATATATAGTTTTAGCAAAGTTTGTATAATTGTATTGTTAAATTATTCATCAAAACTTTTAATAAAGTATCTAGATATAGGTTAAATGCAAAAAAAAAATTTCCTAATAACATATAAAATGTGTAATTCATCTATGTGGTTCATAAAATCACATTTTACAATTTTTGCAAATAAAGATATTATGTCAATTTAGTCATTGAAATGTCTAAAATATTTGTATAATAAAATAAAAAATTTAATAATAAAAAATCAAAATATCCATTCTCTCCTCAAATTTATTTTTCCTTTTTTCGGAAGGTTTCTCTCCTCTATTTCTCTGTTAGTTTTCATTAAAGCTGCAACTCGAGCGGGTTTGAGGTTTAACTTGATCACAACTCATCATATAAAATGTTAAATCCAAGCTCAACTCTAACCCTATTCTTAACCCGAACCCAACCCATCCTTCTACTTTTAAATTCGGGCTTGCAACTTGGACTTAAATTTCGTGTTAAAACTTCGAGTTAATTCAGGTTACTCATATGGCTAATCTTCACATCCAAAATTTAATATGATCTTGAATTAGTTTTAGATTAAATTACTCTTAAATAAGAAAAAGTTCAAAGATTTTTGTAAATTTTTAATAAATTACAAACAAATTATTAGAAAATTAAGTTTCCTAGATGTTTAAGATTTAACAAGGAAGTTGAAAAGAAGAAAAAGGTAATCATAATTTAAATATTATATATAATGTATTTTAAAGTAAAAATATATATGAAAATAATATTACAATTCGGGTTCGGGTTGGCTCGGGTTGTTTGCATTTCAACCCAAGCCCAACCCTAATTAAATTCGGGTTGAAAATTTTCAACCCAAGTCTAACTCTAATTGTAAAAATAATTGTTCAATTCTGCAAAAAATCGGGTTGGACTCGGGTTGGGTTTGGATTTCCCAACCCAAGTTGCACCCATAATTTTTACTTTCTGGTGGGACTCTTTTTCAAGTGACTTCCATATTTGTTTGGCTCTCTATTTTCTCTTTTTTAGTTACTTTCATATAGTTATTAATTTTGTCTTATATATATATATATATATATATATATATATATATATATGCAAAATGCAATCAATCCATGGTAACTCTGGTTTTAAAAGCAAAATCTCTCTCTCTCTCTAACATATGGATATGGGAGTAGACCTGGTTACAAGAGTATATATAACAATGCTCATATAATTTAATTTTATTTATTTATTTTTGGAGTGTAAATGCTATTATGAGCCTAAGAAGTATCAAAATTATCCCAATCAAGATAACATTCAATGAGAAGCACTCATGAACAACCAAGAGGGGACAACTGAACTTATGCATCTGAGGCTCCACAGTCATAAACTAAAAGTGAATCAAATTGAGATGATGTCGAAGCCAACATAACATTTATCTTATTGTAAAAGTATGTATATAAATTGCTGACATATTGACAATACTTATCTTCAGGGAATACAATAATCTTTATATTTCAAGTTTGACAAAATAAACACTGTGTCTTCGTCAATTAAATATTTTGTGGTGTTAGTTTTGTGTTATATATATAATATTGAAATTATATATATATTTTAAGCAATTTGCTTTAGAAATTGCCTAAATATATAATTTTTTTTTATTTTTTTTTTTAATTTATTAAAGTAGTGATTTTTCGACAAAAGTTAATGGTTTGTTGCTGAAGCCGAAATAGACGCGAAAAAAATGTATGTTGAACTTCTATGTTGTAGAGAGAGAGAGACCTGAGAGCGCGACGGTTTAGAGAGAGAGGAAAAGATAGATTTTTTTTTTTTTTACATCAGCAAGGGCATTTCAGGGTTTTAAAAAAAAAAATGGTCAAAATTGATGATTAGGGAGTAATTTGCTCAAAAGATTGATAATATAGGGATTTATATGCACTTAATTTTTAGTGGGGTACTTCTTGCACAATTTTTTTTTTTTGTAATAAGAGAGTGTTTTTGCACTTAACCAATTAGTTGTAGCTCATGACTGTAGTATTAAATTTATTGGGAAAAATTAGATGGTTAGGTTAATTAGAGTTATGTTATTTTGATTACACTTTGTCTCAATTTATTTATTTATTTATTCCTAATAAAATGATTAAAAGCATCTAAACTTTTTAAAAAGAATGGAAAATGAAAATGGGGCCAAACTATAAACACCGAAAAAATGACCGAATCTTCCGTGGCAAAGCCACGTCAGATTTTATAAAACCTCGTTGTCCACCGGGGAACCACATTGTTCGCCGGTTGTTACTGCAAAACTCATAACCGACCTGCTCCATCTGAGCCGCCGCAGCCCAGCCCGTCACCATCTCATAGCCGTCACCGCCGCTGCACCAAACAACGCCCACCACAGCCGATAGCATCCGAGCATTGCCGCCTTTACCATCGATCTCATTTGCCTAGCCGAAGCCTATCTCTGCCACCACCGCCACTGCTCTAGCCACCGCCGCAGATCTCGACTTCTTGCCGCCGCCGATCTTCTCTGCCGAGTTGAGCAAACAACAGAGATAAGATCTCTACCGTCGCGACTTCGTGTCGAAGCCGATCTCTGCCACAACCGATCTGATCTGCCACCTCAGTTTCCCTCAACCAAATCCCATCCTCTCCCTGCAAATCCCAACCTCTCTCCTCCTCCCTTCACCTCCTCTTCTTCACCTTGGCAAAAGTTTCATCATTCATTATCTTGGATGTAGCTGGAGTGAGTGGCATATGGAGTGAAATAAAATTTGCAGTGGGGACGGCATCATCAAAGGAGACCAAATCAACACCAACAACCCCTGTTGGTGGTCGCCACCAAACAGCCTTCTGTGGTCGCAATCGGAACAGAGTATTCTCTGCCGCCGAGCAATAGAGGACCGGCAATACCCACCGCCGGCCGCCGTTCCTATCCACCTCCTCCTTTTTTTTTTTACTGAAGAGTGAGAATCTGACGTGGCTCTGCCACGAATGATTCGGTCATTTTTTCGGGATACCTTTCGTTCCTATCACTGCTTAAAAATAATTTATGTAAGTGAAGTATTTTTCATAATGTATGATATGTAAAATGTTTAATACATGTTTATATGATTGAACTAAAAAAAAATATTAGTATACATGTACTTATACAGGTTTTATTTAATTTAAGTTGATAACTAACTTTAAAAAATATTTTAAAGGGCGAATTGCAAAAAATTCTTCTCTGACTTTCACCTGTTTATAAAAAACTTCCTTTATGAATATTTTTAGCAATTAATCCCCCTCAACTATGGGTCATTTTAACTAATCTTCGTTAGAATGATTGTGTGAGGAAAATTTTCGGACAAAATTACTTTTAACATGAAACATCCATTTGAGTGATTGTGTTTAAAAAATTTCGGACGAAATTATCCTTAAAATCAAAACAATACATTATTACTAAAGTACGCACCACTCATTTTTTTTTTTTTTTGTTAATTGCATAAAACACTAAAACGAGGCCTCTCATTTTGAAACGAGGCCTTTGATTTTTTCTTTCGAAATGTTTTTGCATTTAGAATATATATAGTAATATGGTAGTTATTCATCAAATATCAACTTAAATTGATTTTGGTGAAAAAAAAAAAAAAAAAACTTGTTTATTGAATATGCATATTTCAGTAACCAAACAATGGTTGAACGCAATCTGCTTACAAAACATTCAGACACATCCTCAAATTTTTCTTCTTCTTCAATATATCCATAATTGACAAGCAATCATTTGTCCTCTAAAAAATTAATTCCATCGTTAATAACCATAACTGACAATAAGACATATGTCCAAGCATTCATTAGCATAAATGAATCAACCTGTTTACCAAAACACTTGAATACATTCATAACTAAAAAAACTACACATCAAAATTATATATAACTGACAAACATGAAATATAACAAAAAAATGTCATCATCAAACTGATAATTGTTGGTCACCTATGAAAGGCAAAAAAAAAAAAGAAAAAGAAAAAAAAAGACCAAAATGAAGTTTTTCAACTATCTTTCATTCATTTTGGAAGATTATTGTCATTTGGGTCTTTAATTAAATTTTTTTAATTATCCGTTTGAGTGCTAGAAAAAAGAAAAGAAAAAAAAAAAAAAAAAGTAAGTGGTGGGTACTTTAGTAATAATATATCGTTTTGATTTGAAGAATAATTTCGTCCAAAAAAATTATCACACAATCACTCAAATGGATAATTGATGTTAAGGATAATTTTGTCCAAAAGAACTACTCGCACAATCACTCGAATAGATATTAGTTAAAATGGCCCCTCGTGATACTTGAGGGGATTGGATATTTGGTGACCATAGCAATCATCCTTTTCTATAATCATTTGGGTTTGTCTTGGTTTAAAGAAAACCAATTATTTGGGTTTAACAAGCAAATATTTTAGTTTCTTATTTATATTTAACCTAGCAAATTCGCTAACCTAGTTTTACTCTCTATGCTGACCAGTCCCCCACTCAATTTTACTCCATACGCTAAAATACATCAATGATGAGTAACATGAAATAATATGTAAACGTCTGATTAATAATGTTTTACTTAATTATATAAAACATTAAGTAAACGTGTCATTTGGTATTGCAAAGGAGACTTCAACCCTCTTAACCCTTTTAAAGGTTCCACTATTTTAATAGAGAGGGTTAGGATGTATTTACCCTCACTACAACGCTTCCACATATTTTAGAATCATCTACACTTAATTACAATATTATGGAAGGCTCTCCAAATTAATTCTCATGTCTTACCCACGCATTTCAACCTATCTCGAACTTGGTCGGGGCATGACAAAGTGCTAGATTTATATTTAAAAAACAAAAAAAAAGGTACTTCATCTTTAATACTCCATAAATAATTTTTATTTTTTGAATT